CGAATATAGAATATTTGATGATTACTTTTGAACATGTCGTTATCTCACTTGTATATCGATATTTTTTTTGACAGATGTTAGATTTTATTTAAGTTACTCCAGTTTATATACCAAAATTCACGTCAGCTTCTCATTGAGTAAGTGAAACTACATTAAATAGAGTTCTATGGAGTAGTTCAATAGACATCTTCAACTGATCTTTACTACACATCAATGAAACTATTCATTCTAACTATGTAACAGCTAGATGTTGAAATTCTCAACAAAAGATAAATCTTAGCATATTATGATGCTTTGCGTTGGTTTCACATGTGATTTTCTATATTTGAGCTTAGTATGAGGGTGTGAGTGTGCGTCTCCGGTTGTTTAAAACCCACACCCACACACCCACACCCTATAAAGTTAAAGTTTTGCCAGGTGGTCTTAGTAAAAAAGGCAAAAATATGAAACTTAAATTTTACTTTTATTCCTATTAAACAAAATTTTATTTAGATGTTCAAGCTGCTTTAAAGTTCTTTGTAATGGATCGAATAGCAACTCAATTAGAAAAAGATCTTATTAAAACAGTGAAAGATCAAGAAGTAACATACAGTTTACCTAGTGCCAAAGTTAAATGTGTTCTTTCTTCTTATATTAAACTTAAAAAATATTCAAATTTTTATCTTTATTTATTTTTATTTGAAGGAAAAATAATAGAAGAAAAAAACACGTAAAACAATCTGACAATGATTTGATCCTTAGCATAATTGGTTTTTCGACAATAAGTCTGTTTACAGATTATAATTTGCATTCAAATTAATCCTAACAGATTAATAAAATAGTTCTGCAAAAAGAAACAAATCTTTCCCTATTGTTTATCTATTTGAAAATGAACAGTTCATAATAGATAAATAATGAATTATATAGATAATTAAACGATAAATTTTTATCAGATGTCGATTTTTCCAATGATGGACATTCGTAGCTTCGCACTACATTTGGCAATGGAATGAAACTTCAATGTAATCTAGCTGCACCTCGCTGCCTCCCTCAAGCCTTTGGAAGTTGAAGGATCGCTTAT